CCCCCTGCTGACGGGGGGGGCAGGCTCGGGCTGCCAGTTCCAACTGCCTGGTTCCGCTCTCCCTGGGGCTCGGGCTGCCGGCCCCAATTGCCCGGCCCCACTCTCCCTAGGGCTCGGGCTGGCGGCTCCTCTGCTGACGCCTGAAGAAAAAGGTTTTTGGTTTAACTGGGTAGAGTGGCAGCCGAGGAGTTATATTTAAACACCTTCCAAAGAAGTGCTTTTGAAAGTTATTATGCATATGGCATTGATTTTGTATGGGGAGGTGAGAGGTTATTTCTTAGCACTTATAGAGCAATTTATACAGTAGAAATGATGTAGGTTAACGTATGCTGTATTTCAGTTTTCCAATTAACTGGCTTAGAAAAAGCATTTCTTCTTCCAGTGAGTATCATTACTCCTTTAGTTTACGCCTGTCATTCTCAGGATGGACAGTGAGGAAAAATACACATTCATGTGTAGGAACAAAGACAAGATTACACCAAGTGATAGCTGTCCAGCATTCCCAACAGAAGCAAATAAGTGTGGAAAATGGTTGCAAGTTCAAAGTTGGCAACTTAGTTGTATTTACAAGAGGTATATCTTTCGCAACAAACTATCCAACAATGTTCCCAATAACCTATGTTACTAGGATGGCTAGAGCATAGACATTTTGCTCTTCCCCTTAGCAATAAGACTAATTCAGTTTTCAGCCATCATGGCTGGACAGTCAAAGTGAAATTTCACAGTCCATTTATAAACAAGCAGTGTTATTGTCAGAGTCCTTCAATAGTCAAATGTTTCAAATGTAAAGGCTATCCCTTCACACAGTCTGATTGTTAGGCTCTGACTGACAATTCCAACTGGGATCAATAGCAAGACTTCCTATGGAAGATACTTAACAGGAGACTATTAACACCTGTTTCAAATTCTCATCAGCAGTTTGTTTTCAAGTGTTTTCCAAAGGAGGTGGGTGGTTCATTATTTTTACATGGATTGGACCACACGAGCATCCAGAGTGTGCCAGACACTTTCCAAAGTTAAAATGTGAGCCCTTTGGGAAAGGGACTGCATTTTATGAAGGCAACTGAGATATGAAGGAGAGACAGGAATAAAACACACAATCCTTTATAAAAAGCAAAACAAAGAAACAGCTAGCCCTCTCTCTAGCCTACGTTCAGAGAGTTAATGCACTGGCCTTTCACTCTAGCAACCGCATTCAAACCCTGAATAGATCACAAATTGACTAGTGGGTTGGTCTCAAACTGCCCTCTGACTATATCTACACCTCTAAGTTTGTCTGTTAAAACCTTCACCTGAGACATCCACATTTTTAACAGGCATGCTACACATCAGGATTGAGGTACATTGGCAGAACTATATGGGAGAAAATTGCTTGCCTGCAAGCAACACTGTCTACGAGCAAGCAGTCTGTTCCTTGATTTCCCTGGACACAATCTGCAAGATTATATAATAGAGTTAGAGAGCAAGATGCCTCAATTGTTTTTTGGGATATGGAGTCTGCCAAACATAGGATGCTGGTAAATCCATTCCAGAACAATAGTGAAGTAAAGTTATTATAATTTCACAACTGTTTAGTTGCCTAAACAAACAGAATTGGTGATCTAAGTCTAGTTACTAGGGCACATATCCACATCAAACCAGTGACAAGTGAAACCTATTTTGAGACCGAGGCCAAAAACAGAAGAGGCGTAAGTGCTAGCCTACTCTTTTACTCTACTATAGACCTGTCTACATTGTCCTTTTTCTTCAGATCTCCCTCTGTCATACCACCAAGGCAGGTGCACCTACAGTAGTGGAAACACTACTGTAGACAAGAGTACAGGCTTCCATTTAAAAAACAAAACAAAAACAAAACAAAACAAAAAAGCATCCTCTATAAATGCTTAGAATAGATCTAGATGACAGTGGTAAAAACACCAACATCAGCTCTTCACTAGTGTGCTTGCTATCGTTAGAGCACGTGAAGCTATATTGGTGTTAGTGTAGCAGTGGGAAATTAAGAAAAATGCCCATGTAGAAAAAGCAGATAAGTCTCACAAGCATAAGGTTCCACAACACGGTGACAGGAGTGTGGGGAAGCACTGCTGGTGATGTACCTATTCTGTAGATAAGTGAATGTCAAACTTTAGGCTGACGAAGCTGAGGATGATAGTAAAGAACATGGCTGTTCTATTAGAGATGTAGTTATCTAAAAAATTTACTCAGGTTCCCTAACTAATTAAAACCTGGAGTGACCTTGTGCCAGTAAATGCAGAATATTCCTAAAGGACATGTCAGTCAGTGGCCAGTGGATTGTACACTATTACTGCTCTATTTTTATAGAAGTACTAACCATCTTCACTCCAATAAGCTGGTTTTTGAAACATTTGTAAAAACATTCTACATAAGTTTCAAATT